TGAATGAATGAATGAATGAATGAATGAATGAATGAATGAATGAATGAATGAATGAATGAATGAATGAATGAATGAATGAATGAATGAATGAATGAATGAATGAATGAATGAATGAATGAATGAATGAATGGACTCAAGTGTATTGAGGCATGAAATTTTTCTGATATGGAAGACCCCCGGTAGAGATTTTAAAACATCACGCTTACTGCTCGTAAGAATACATTTGTTTCCGACGGAAACTTAGAATAATTAACTTTTGACGTGATTTTCCGCTCCTGATGACGTCACAAAACGTGTTTCTTCAAATGGGGTACAATTGAACATTAATAAATTGAAACTTTTCGATATCAAAATAGTCCAAAGATCATTTTTAACTTGATTCCCCTTTTAAGGCGGTATTCATTGTATACCTTATGAGCAAGAAGTTCAGTGCCCTTAGCTCCCAGTGAGAAGTGTAGTGCACTCTGATGGTATAGTAGAATGCCGACTTTACTCACACTAGAGCCCCGTTAGCTCAATGGTTAGAGCGTCCAATCTAGAATTCGGAGGTCGTGAGTTCGAATTCTTGCCTGGGGCACGAAAATTTTTCGCAGCTTTCTGGCGCATGGTTTCTCCTTCTTCCGAGTAAAAAAAGTAGTGATACCTCCAAGGGTGAAGCACTGTTTTTGTTTCAAGTCTGCATGCTTCCCAGCATTTTTTTATCTGAAATGAACCACCCCTGCCATTAGTAATCATTAGTAGTCGGGCCCCACCGGAAACGGAACATGTGATTCTTCCGCCATTTTGTCGTTTTGCTGCCCAGACGACGACGCTCATTTTTGGATTGTGCTTTGCCACAGGCAGCCCAATAACTAGTGCTTGTAATTGTAACTCCCCATCTCACTTTAGGAGGGACGCTGCTTTTGGTGCAGATGTAGCATGTTTAGCACTACACCTTGTTCATTCAGGCGGCCTACTGCACGAATCCCGATGGAAATATAGTTAAAATCAATCCTCATTCCGATCATGATCCAGAGACTTCCTTAGAAGATTACTTTCGAAATATGCCACACGAGCTCCGTGTTAGTGAATATGAATAGAAATGTCGTCTGGTTGCTAAACATCGCTTTTCATTTTCGAGGGTTCTGATATACCTAAGTAAGGGTTTTATCAAAATCAAGGTTCTCTTCTATTATGGCTGACAGACTACCTAAATGATCGAACTCAATTCTCGGTAGTAAACGGCCAGCACTCAACTGTGCTAAACGTAACTTGCGGGATTCCCCAAGGATCAGTACTTGGCCCAACGTTGTTCGCCTTGTACACCAATGACCTACCAAGTGCTGTTACCTCTGGCTCTGTCTTTATGTACGCAGATGACACCACCGTTTATTGCATCGGGGACACTGTTGATAACACTGTCACTTCTTTAAATAAAGCTTTATCGGAACTGAACAGTTGGTGCCTAGAGAACTCCTTAACCCCTCACTCGGCAAAGTGCGAAGCTATGCTGTTGATGAGAAAACCGCACATCGGGCCGCTAAATTCTGTGACTATTGGAGAGGATCGGATCGACCGGGTGAAACACTCTCGTCTTTTGGGCGTTACTATCGATGACAGGCTTTCCTGGTCACATCACCTTACAGATGTAAAAAAGAAGTTCGTAAACAAACTGAACCTCCCGAAAAGGAGTTCGTTCTTGAGCAGGAACGCCCATTGGACTTGTACTTCAAGATAATATTACCATCAGTTCTATATGGACTAGTCGTTTGGGGCGGCTGCCCTAATGCGGACCTTCTACATTCTCTGGAAGTACTTCACCGTAGGGCAGCCAGAATAATATACAACTTGCCCCGAGATATGCCCACTGAGGAAGTTTACCGACATTCGAACTGGAATACTTTAACCCTCTATTATAAAATATAAACTTCGATTAATTAAACTTCTCCATAGCGTGTTTATAGGTGAAGCACCTACGGCTCTTTCATACTTGACAGATAAACCCTGCACTGCCAACAGGAGGATACAAAATATGATGATTTGTATATTCAAATGTCTCCATTTTGGTAAATATCCGTGCTATTTAAAACAACTGATCAAGTTAAGATCTACTGCTTACTCCCTACGGGGTACTAATATTTTATCACTTCCTAAGCCGTCTACAACCACATATGGTCTAAATTCCTTTAGCTATTCATCTGTTAAGTACTGGAATTCTTTACCTGATCACTTTAGAAAGACTGTAGATTTTAGTGAAACTAAGCGTAAATTGTTAGTACACGGTTTTAGTTAATAATACATTAATTAATATTATATATTATATTATATATGTTGTAACTTTTAAAATTAGTTAGGATCGGAGATACTAGCTATGTAAGCTACACTAAAATCCGAGGATAGATAAAGTTTATGTATGTTATGTATGTATGTACTGCATACAACTTCAGAAGGAGTAATAACATAATCGTCCCGCGTTTTAACTCGCAGTTTCTTAAAAACTCTATTAGCTACAGAGGCGCTATTCTTTGGAACGCTGTCTCGAGTCATTTTACAGACCAGTTTACTGTTTTTTATCGCAAAGTGAAGAAGGACTCTTATTTTAAGGAACTTGATTTTAGCGCACAGTCGGTCCAGTCGCTGCCCAGGCACTACCAAGATTTTAAATACTTTTAACTATTTTAAAATGCTGTAGTCAATTTACTTAGAGGTAACTAATGTAAATTCATTTTAACCTTGTCTTTTTTCTGGTTAGAATCTTACTGTATATTTTTAGAGTTTTAATTGTAGTTGTATTTTGTAAGTAATGTTATTCTTATTTTTTATATTGTTTTATCCATTTGTAATCATTTTTACACGACCCCACAAGCTTTGAGCTTTAAATCATATCGTGTTTAAATAAAGGATATGTATGTATGTATGTAAGGCATCACGCGAGGGCTATTTTTGTCTTACTAAATAACAAGTAATCTTTTTTTTAAAAAAGTAACCGCGAGGGTCCTTTTTTTCCCTCTATTTTTTAGCCTCTCTATGTTCCTGTTTTCATCTCGATTTTTCGGGTGGAGCTCAGCCCACGATTTGACGTCTCAATCCAGCTGAAGTTTCCTATGGAACAGAATTCTCTCAAGCCTGTTAATTTGGCTGTAGAGGTGAGTCCTCCATTACTCCCTGCCCAATCCTCCGAGAGGTACACTCATATCCTGTCCTTCACAAACAATGTGGTTGTAACTCATCATTTAACTGCTCTTTCGCCAGGTTGACCCTTCGGCCGGTGCTACAGTAAGCTTTGAAGGATATTTGTCGGCATATATCATCCGAGGAGGTGTCTACGGCGATGGAACATTGGTAAGGGTTGGTCTTCCTGTGACACTGTCCTACCAAGAAAACCGTTCTCCTGGGAGTCAATGGTGCACGAGTCTGTCTGTCAACCTGACCGCCCTGGAGCTGAGTGCCGGCGCTTTCTATCAAAAGCGGCACTGGTGGCACTGGGGTACAAGGCATACCCTGTATGAGTTTGGTAAATGGGATGCCATACAGCGCAGTTGGAAGGAGCTAGAGAGATGCGGTTAGGCGCGATTGATGGATATCGATCTCATCCGTGAAAATCTTTGTATGCAGCATAATTATCCGGGAGGGGCTTAGTGTCAAAAACTAAACTTAGGGGAGGAGTCTAATCATTGTAGTCTTTTCTACGACAAGAACATCAGTAGTCAAAGACAATATTATATATACTTTCAGTATACAAGTACACCTTTACAGACTTGCGCAACTATCACAAAGTGCACTAATAGTGATCATAGAAGTGTTTATTTTTTGCATCTTTGATCGACTTAGTTTCAGAAAAATCGCAAGCTGCCATTTCATAGCCCTTTAACACATAGTCAAATGATGCTTAGATTGAAGAGGCTCAAAATAATATAGTTAAAAACTTTCTTGAGTTATAAGGACATAATAAAATAATGCCAAGAGGTTATGTTCTGTCCTTGGTTTTATTTTCCAAACTATTTCTCCGTTTCTGATTAGCTTACAGTACCCCAGCTAGTTCTTCATAAGCCTCTACCATTGACCATAATCTGAACAACAACGTGACGTTTGCGATATCTAGTAAGATCATGTCAGTACAGTACAGGACATTGACGGCAATGTTATTAATACGGACGGGGAAGGCGGGGAACGCTTAGCGAGCATTACCCGTGCTAGAGGCCCATTACCCGTTTCAGTAATGTCCGGCTGGAATGTCTAGGAACGTCGATTGACTGCTTTAAATGCGGTTTTGTAAATTCTTTCAACATTCCCCCTTCCCACTCTCAAAAATAATGTCAAGTTCATCTCCCATAAAATCTAGATCTCTACAACTACTCTACTCAACAAGTACATATTTTCCAGAATAATACGATGTGCTTATTTGAATTAATTCAGAGAATCAACTCTTCCGGGGAATAAATTAAAAAGCAACGACATGAAATACTAGAGTGGATTACACAACAAAAGTTTCGTAAGGGGAGGCTGGGCCCTGAAGTTCAACCCCTTACCCTTGTATTCACCACTCATGGTAGCCTGTTCCAGGCTCCGNTCCGGCTGGAATGTCTAGGAACGTCGATTGACTGCTTTAAATGCGGTTTTGTAAATTCTTTCAACATTCCCCCTTCCCACTCTCAAAAATAATGTCAAGTTCATCTCCCATAAAATCTAGATCTCTACAACTACTCTACTCAACAAGTGCATATTTTCCAGAATAATACGATGTGCTTATTTGAATTAATTCAGAGAATCAACTCTTCCGGGGAATAAATTAGAAAGCAACGACATGAAATACTAGAGTGGATTACACAACAAAAGTTTCGTAAGGGAAGGCTGGGCCCTGAAGTTCAACCCCTTACCCTTGTATTCACCACTCATGGTAGCCTGTTCCAGGCTCCGAGATAGTGGTGAAAAGTCGTTCAGTAAAAAGAAACGCGAAAAACGCGCGGGGGGCTGGGAGAGACCCCTTTCCCAAGTCGCGCGCGTCTTGTTTTCGCTTTGTTCGTTTTAATACGTCCGCATTATACTATCTGAGAGCCTGGCACAGGCTGCACTCAGGGCAGAAAAGGATCCCTTTGTCCTATTACCTTCGACAAAAAGTACCTACTTAAAAACAATTAATGCAACACTTAATTTCTACTAACCTTAAAATGAAGTCAATGGGCGATGTTATAGGAGAACAGCAACTTCTACCTGAAGAAAGGTTAAAAAAAGTAAGCTAAGCCGGAGTTTACGTTGTGACGGACCCATGTAAATACCTAACAGATATACCTATACCCTTTCATATATATAGGCTCGTGAAAGCTCTACCCTTTCATATGCCTGAAGACTGAAAAAGGTACCCCTTAATTTCGGGCAGTGTATAGGCCACTACGAGGATTACCCGCGAGGGGCATGAAATATGTTCAACTGTATTCAAAATAAGAACAGTGAAATTGAATCTAAGGGTGAAAGCGTTTAGCTTCTTCACAGCACATCTTACGTGAATATTCAGAATATTTCAAAATGGCAAAACTTCTTGTGACTATCAGCTCCCAAGCAGATGTCAATTTTATTCGCTGAGACAAATTGCGTAGCAGGAGACAAGTTAAGGCAGAAATAACTAGTTAGCAACGGTCTGGTAAACGGGAATAATAATTACACCCTTTCCCTTTAAAATAATAACTTAAATTAGTTGCAAGGCGCCGAGGGGTCTAGTTCACGTTGCTATTTCATCAAAACATCCGTTACTGCAAACACTAAATTCTAAGTCATTTTGTATTACATTAAACTTCTTGCCCTCGTGTGGGCAAAAGCTCTGATTCACACCCATATTCCTCTTTGTTTTCAGAGTTTTTTCTTTCCCACAAGCAACATGAAAATCTCACAACATAATCATATTTCGCAAGGGAACTTGTTTTTACGGATCATAGAAAAAAGCGCAGAAATCGCACAAATAAGAACCCGGAAAAAATAAGCGCCACAGGGAAATAACAGAAGGTCAAAAAACATAAAACAGAGGTCTGCCTCTTGTTTCTAACTGTTCAACTTTAAAAAATACTAGTAGAAGAAAGGGACATATGCCGATAATATTCGCACTCACGACGAGAAAAGCTTGCCTTTTTGAAAAAGCCCAAACGAAGCTGAGAAAGCAATGAAAATAGTTTTCCCACCACCGGTCTGTGTCTAAATACGTTCCGTGCATATTTAATGGTCGGTTTCCGGATGCTTGAAACCGAAACGTTAGCAGACATGAACCAATACAAATAACTTCTTAAGATCTGACAATTCGTTTTGAAAGTTATCGCGGCCCGGCTTTTTGTGCTCAAAATTTACGGCTAAATGTTGAAGCTATAAAATAAAGTGTCCTAGCTGGTGCTGAGTTCATTCTTACTGGTTCTTTGAATCCGAGTTGAAACTACAGTATTCTATTTAAGACGACAAGGCCGCCACTGCCAAAATTAAATTCCCTAAGCTCTCGTACGTGAGTGTAATCTCCCTTATGCGACGCATATAACCGAAGTACGTCAATCACATATATATGGAAAACTCCTAAGGGCAAAAATTTGTTTACTGTGTAAAATCTCATGAAACAATTCTTGAGAGGACGAGTGAAATAACAAAAACTACGAGAACCACGCTGAACTGTTGTCAATTTTGTTTTCCCTTTACAAAGGCCTTGATTTTATCTCAGTATCTTAATTTTTTAAGTATATGAACATTGGAAACCCAATTATCAGCTTCGGATCTTTGGTTCGACTAGCACAAATAAAAGAACCGTTAGAAGGTAAGTGTTTGTTAAATAACAGTTTTGGCTCATTTAAATAGCACACGCTTTTCTTAAAAGCAAATTAATCAGGAAGTCTAATAAAAACAAAGGGTTTTATTTGGCTCGCAAATAAAACATCAGTTCAGTTTTTAACTTATACCTGACCGTGACATTAGCAACCATTAATTTCTGGGTCCGTGTTCAATTTTCATTTAACACTAAAAAACGGGAGCTGAATGGTCACAGGTCCAAAGGAGAAAAAGTGCTTACGTGTATTCAATGAGTTTGCATCCGGCTTTGCAACCCGCAGTTTATTCCGCGAGAAATCGGCTTTTATATATCAAGGTTAAAAATATCGCAATTTCGTCATTCCAAATAATGATGACAATTATCTACAATAAACCACTTGTTGCGGGTTTTTACAGGAAACGGAAATGCGTAATCTGTTGTGGTCACGTGACCCAGGTGTAACGAGCATTTAAGTTTACTTCAAGGTGCCTTAGGTGGGACAGCCTGTTAAGTGAGTGCATAAGCGCACCTGCGTTAAGTGGTATGGCGCAGTTGTTTACCTTAATGTTCTTATTACTTCGTTTGGCTGGTAAGTTTGTCAAAGATCTTTATANCTGTTGTGGTCACGTGACCCAGGTGTAACGAGCATTTAAGTTTACTTCAAGGTGCCTTAGGTGGGACAGCCTGTTAAGTGAGTGCATAAGCGCACCTGCGTTAAGTGGTATGGCGCAGTTGTTTACCTTAATGTTCTTATTACTTCGTTTGGCTGGTAAGTTTGTCAAAGATCTTTATATATCTTAGCTTATTGCGACTGATTTTCAAACTGGAGCCCCACTCACTACAAATTTTAAAAGTTCGTTTCATTCAGTGTCAATTTAGTCAACAAGGAAAAAAAAGCAAGGAGAGAGAAACTTGGACAAGACAGCTGGAAATATTGTTTGACAAAGCTTTCTACGCCGCACAGCATGAATAAGAATCCAGCCAAAAACAATCCCTCGAGAAAACAAGGATCTGTAAAGAATTTCTGATTTCTTTCAGGGCTGTACAGTTTTGTAACAAGCTTTTACAAATTTGCCAAAACCCGAGTTGTGGATAATAAGATCTCTGCAATGCTCGGCACCTTCTTTCCACTAACTGTACAGCAAGTTGTTTTACTTTCCAGGGCAATTTGTTCATGAAAATGAGAGAAACTGCGTTTACAGTGGGCTAATTATTTTTTTATTTTCGTTAATTAAGTAAAGTGGAGCAGAACGACATTAGCCCCGTTTCAGATTTGTCTCTCCTTTTTAACCTTTTAAGAAAAAAATTCGTTTCCTTGTCTAGATTTGAGCCAATGGCATAAAAATAGGTAATAACCAACAGCAAAATTGGAAATGTTGCCCGAACAAGCGTTCAAGTAAGTCACTAAGGAAGTTACAGTTGCATAGCACCAATACAAGGCAATTTCTTTAATATCAGTAGAGTAAAGAGATATCAAGAGAGACTGTAACATTTTGTGCGTATGCAGGAAATATCGGAAGTCGGGCCCTTTGTCACGAACTTTGAGGTACTTCTCTGTGCTGAATGCGAGTCATTTCGTAACAGCATATCTCACTGTACTGACTTACCCAAATAGATCGAAGCATTGAGCAATACGAAGAATACTTATCTCATTCTCTCTTGGCAAATATTTGACGTATTTGAATATTAAACAAAGTTTCTCCGTGTAGACAGTGGAAGAAGGGATTTCAAATTTAGCATTCAAGTAACAAGCTTGAGGGTGGTACAGCCGACGTTTTGCGGCCATTGTAAAACGAATTTGGAAGCAACTGAGAGACATTAATGAAGTTATAGGTCTTTTGTGGAAAAAACCTTATAAATACTGTTTACAGCTTCACCTGTGCAACCATTTCCTTTTAAGAGCTTCACCTGTGTAACCATTTCCTTTTAAGTTGGTTAGTTCATCTGGCTTTGTTTTTCCGTTGCCATGATATTGAATTTTAAAACTAGAGGGCCGATATTTCTAAACGAAGTTTCATGGCAAATTTCAAGTTGTGTCTTCTACGCGCTTAAATAATCACGTTTCTGTAAAACTTTTTTTATTCTGGAAATTTGTTTTCTTAAAATAACTGTTACTGTAAATCATAACTAATAACGATATTTAGGAGATAAATTAGGAACGAATTATACGAGGAATTCTGATTGTCATTAGCATTTAACACGGAGTCATCAGTACATATAAGTACATTCAAAAGCAATGCGTTTCTTGTAAATACTATCGCGTATGTATCAATTTGAAATTACACACGAGAGGCCTATAAACCGTTAGAGCCTTTTCTGCCTTTCTTCGTGATAAATGGTGCAAATTCATTTCAAGAGTTAACTCCAGTAGCACATTCCTTCAAGTCCGACCCAAGGAAAAACACCTCCGGACATGTGACCAACTAAGGATTTCAACACGAAAAACTGGATACTTAGAGTAAACAGTTCCGCAAATGTATTTTGTCACAATTTTTCATCATTCTTCCATCTCCCAGCCTCCTTTTAACTGGATGTTCCTTGGCAGAGGTTATGTACGTTGTCTCCCTTGCATAATTATGCCAGGGTCTGATATATGGCTATTATGCCTTGTTATATACTTCAACATATCACAGATCAGCTGATAACCTGTACTTGAATCCTATGCAATGTGTTGTCATTGAATTTCGGAAAGATTAGCCTTTAAATTTAATTCGTAATGACATCCTAAACACAAATATTAACAGATCTCCATTCAAAACAAATTAAGGTCGTGGAGGACACATTGGGCTCATTGTTATGCATTTATTTAAAGCCGGTATACACGAAGTACAACGACTGATATCGAACAGGTTTACGAGATGTTGCTTATATTCATAACTGGATAAAAGATGAGCGCATAATTTAAAGTGTTCATGTGCACTTGTGGCACGTAGGCTGCGAACAAAATGTTGATTCAAAAGTAACAAAAAGGCCCTGAATCAAACCTTGTTTCAGTGATCTTTAATAGTATGGAATAAAAATAAGGAAATGTTTAGAAATTTCAACCAAATTTAATACAAAAACTAGTTGTATGTTTTTTTGTTTCGCCTCAAAAATCCTTGAAAACATTGCACCTTATAAACAGAATAAAAGCGTACCATAATTACATATTCGTGCTTTAGTTGGGACACCTTCAGGAGTCTCAAAATTTGACTTTTCTGACAATTTTGCGTCCAAGAATTCAGCGCAGATGCAAAACTTCACGAACTGGCATTGCAGAGGGGTAAACTTTTGCATTATGAATTTATTTTTAGAGATATGCACCCCCCCCCCCGGCCACAATTTGCGGTTCTTTAGTTCATAGAAAAGCTTAGAAAATACAAATAAAAACAAAAACTTTTAAACTTTTAACTAGTTAGGAAGTGTAAATAAGGTTTCCGGCAGTAATACGCTTTCCTATCTGTATTAGAGATGTAACTAAGGTAACATATACTGAACATATTTTTCACGCAGTTGTAATTCTGACTTTGTTCAATCTTAATGCATTAACTGTTGATATTGATGAATCATACGATGTTTTGCTCTCCATCCGAATTACTCCCGTGACATTACATAGAGATCATTAAGGCTAAAAGAGAAGAGAAGTTAACAATATTTTAAATTATTTTGCTTGATATTCATGAAAAGATGCCTTGTTTGTCAAACAAGATGATTTAATTTTTCCGCATTCCCTCCCAATGAAATCACCTGATGATCCATTAGCGACAAAAGGGAAATGACATCATGCCCACGCAAGAAATTCACCTGAGAAACAGCTAACCAACCGTGCCAATTAACGGGGCTGTGTCACGGCTGTCCAGTTGATTTTGTTTAATTTTGCCAGTTACTATAGCCCTCAATCGCTATGGAACTTAAAGTAAGCAAAGAAATTACTGGTAAATGACACAAGCAGAGATTCGAGACAAACAAATATGTCTCCTGAGCATTATTTTTGAAGTTACAAACAGCAGAGATCAACTTTGAAAAATTGTTAGGCTGAACTGTTTTCAAAAACCCTAATTTCAATCCGTTTCAGTCTTCTTCAGTTTTGCCCATCCGTGGCATCTGTTGTATCTGTTGTGTTATTTTAACCTTCCTTTAATGTTTTACGTGGTTATTTTTACGTTTCCCTTAATTTAACGGGCATTTTGTAATTACTTAATTTGGCTGAATTTCGTGACATAGCTCCTTTAATATAGCCTGCGTAGTAGGCGCTTTAAAGTAGTGGGCGCAAAAATGAACGGGCGCGCGAGAGGGACTCGCGCGCCCGTCCTCTCTTGGGCCCACTACTTAAAAGCGCAGGCTAATTAAACACAAAATACAGTCAAACCGCGTTAATACGGACATTGACGGGGCCATAGAAAGTGTCCGTATTAACCCTTTTCGGACGGCTAGGGTCGTTTTAATTTCGTCTCATATGGAGCGATGCATATTTTCCTCCCTAGTACCATTTACCGTTGAGTTCAAACTGTTAAGTTGTTAAGCAGCAACGTTAGCAAAGATAGATCACAAATACCCCGCCTTTGCTATTTCTAACCAATCCTGACAGAGTTACAAATATAAAAACAAATAACATTTCGAGGAAAATCCACTGCCAATTGCGCTATTTACCTACTACTCTTTGTAAATTAAATTTGTCCCTTTCCTAAAAAGCTAGCCAGCCACAATTCCATGTAAAAGAAAGACGATAAAGTGGGCAGCAAAACTGAAAATAGAAAAGAAAGGCAAAGGGAAAAAAGAGAGCTAGAAAGAAAAAAAGAAATAAATTCGTTAAGGTGCCTTAGGTGGGACAGCCTGTTAAGTGAGTGCATAAGCGCACCTGCGTTAAGTGGTATGGCGCAGTTGTTTACCTTAATGTTCTTATTACTTCGTTTGGCTGGTAAGTTTGTCAAAGATCTTTATACATCTTAGCTTATTGCGACTGATTTTCAAACTGGAGCCCCACGCACTACAAATTTTAAAAGTTCGTTTTATTCAGTGTCAATTTAGTCAACAAGGAAAAAAAAGCAAGGAGAGAGAAACTTGGACATAACAGCTGGAAATATTGTTTGACAAAGCTTTCTACGCCGCACAGCACGAATAAGAATCCAGCCAAAAACAATCGCTCGAGAAAACAAGGATCTGTAAAGAATTTCTGATTTCTTTCAGGGCTGCACAGTTTTGTAACAAGCTTTTACAAATTTGCCAAAACCCGAGTTGTGGATAATAAGATCTCTGCAATGCTCGGCACCCTCTTTCCACTAACTGTACAGCAAGTTGTTTTACTTTCCAGGGCAATTTGTTCATGAAAATGAGAGAAACTAAGTTTACAGTGGGCTAATTATTTTTTTATTTTCGTTAATTAAGTAAGTGGAGCAGAACGACATTAGCCCCGTTTCAGTTTTTTCACTCCTTTTTAACCTTTTGAGAAAAAAACTCGTTTCCTTGTCTAGATTTGAGCCAATGGCATAAAAATAGGTAATAACCAACAGCAAAATTGAAAATGTTGCCCGAACAAGCGTTCAAGTAAGTCACTAAGGAAGTTACAGTTGCATAGCACCAATACAAGACAATTCCTTTCATATCAGTAGAGTAAAGAGATATCAAGAGAGACTGTAACATTTTGTGCGTATGCAGGAAATATCGGAAGTCGGGCCCTTTGTCACGAACTTTGAGGTACTTCTCTGTGCTGAATGCGAGTCATTTTGTAACAGCAATCTCACTGTACTGACTTACCCAAATGGATCGAAGCATTGAGCAATAAGAAGAATACTTATCTCATTCTCTCTTGGCAAATATTTGACGTATTTGAAAATTGAACAAAGTTTCTCCGTGTAGACAGTGGAAGAAGGGATTTTAAATTTAGCATTCAAGTAAGCAGCTTGAGGGTGGTACAGCCGACGTTTTGCGGCCATTGTAAAACGAATTTGGAAGCAACTGAGAGACATTAAGGAAGTTATAGGTCTTTTGTGGAAAAAACCTTATAAATACTGTTTACAGCTTCACCTGTGTAACCATTTCCTTTTAAGATGGTTAGTTCATCTGGCTTTGTTTTTCTGTTGCCATGATATTGAATTTTAAAACCAGAGGGCCGATATTTCTAAACGAAGTTTCATGGCAAATTTCAAGTTGCGTCTTCTACGCGCTTAAATAATCACGTTTCTGTAAAACTTTTTGTATTCTGGAAATTTGTTTTCTTAAAATAACTGTTACTGTAAATCATAACTAATAACGATATTTAGGAGATAAATCAGGAACGAATTATACGAGGAATTCTGATTGTCATTAGCATTTAACACGGAGTTATCAGTACATATAAGTACATTCAAAAGCAATGCGTTTCTTGTAAATACTATCGCGTATGTATCAATTTGAAATTACACACGAGACGCCTATAAACCGTTAGAGCCTTTTCTGCCTTTTTTCGCGATAAATGGTGCAAATTCATTTCAAGAGCTAACTCTAGTAGCACATTCCTTCAAGTCCGACCCAAGGAAAAACACCTCCGGACATGTGACCAACTAAGGATTTCAACACGAAAAACTGGATACTTAGAGTAAACAGTTCCGCAAATGTAATTTGTCACAATTTTTCATCATTCTTCCATCTCCCAGCCTCCTTTTAACTGGATGTTCCTTGGCAGAGGTTATGTACGTTGTCTCCCTTGCATAATTATGTCAGGGTCTGATATGTGGCTATGATGCCTTGTTATATACTTCAACATATCACAGATCAGCTGATAACCTGTACTTGAATCCTATGCAATGCGTTGTCATTGAATTTCAGAAAGATTAGCCTTTAAATTTCGTAATACATCCTATCAACAATAAATATTTAACACATCTCCATTCGAAACAAATTAAGGTCGCGGAGGACACATTGGGCTCATTGTTATGCATTTATTTAAAGCCGGTATACACGAAGTACAACGACTGATATCGAACAGGTTTACGAGATGTTGCTGATATTCATAACTGGATAAAAGATGAGCACATAATTTAAAGTGTTCATGTGCACGTGTAGCACGTAGGCTGCGAACAAAATGTTGATTCAAAAGTAACAAAAAGGCCCTGAATCAAACCTTGTTTCAGTGATCTTTAATAGTATGGAAATAAAAATAAGGAAATGTTTAGAAATTTCAACCAAATTTAATACAAAAACTATTTGTATGTTTTTTTGTTTCGCCTCAAAAATCCTTGAAAACATTGCACCTTATAAACAAAATTAAAGCGTGGAATGTAAACCATAATTACCATAATTACATATCTTATGCTTGGAACTTTAGCTGGGACACCTTCAGGAGTCTCAAATTTGACTTTTCCGACAATTTTGCGTCCAAGAATTCAGCGCAGATGCAAAACTTCACGAGTTGGCACTGCAGAGGGGTTAACTTTTGCATTATGAATTTATTTTTAGAGAAAATGGACTCCCTGCGGCCTTAACGGACACATTTTGCGGTTCTTTAGTTCATTAAAAAAGCTTAGAAAATACAAATAGAAAACAAAAACTTTTAAACTTTTAACTAGTTAGGAAGTGTACATAAGGTTTCCGGCAGTAATACGCTTCCCTATTTGTATCAGAGATGTAGCTAAGGTAACATATACTGGACATATTTTTCACAGAGTTGTAACTCTGACTTTGTTCAATCTTATGCATGGTTTCGATGATGAAGCACACTTCTACTTTAACTGTTGATATTGATGAATCATACGATGTTTTGCGCTCCATTCGAATTACTCCCGTGACATTACATAGAGATCATTATGGCTAAAAGAGAAGAGAAGTAAACAATATTTTAAATTATTTTGCTTGAAATATTTATGAAAAGATGCGTTGTTTGTCAAACAAGATGATTTAATTTTTCCGCATTGCCTCCCAATGAAATCACCTGATGATCCATTAGCGACAAAAGGGAAATGATATCATGCCCATGCAAGAAATTCACCTGGGAAACAGCTAACCAACCGTGCCAATAGACCTTTTTACCGATACGGCGGCCATATTGAATTAATTCGATTTAAGGAGTATTATAGGATGCTCAGGGGGCATGAGCACATTTCGTTTGTATTTTCGAGCACTTTTTGGGACTTTTTTCTTAAAGTTTTCTTAGAATAAGATTGTAATGGGAAAAAAGATCCTTGTGCCGTGTTTGGATGTAATAATGATCGCCTTTTAACCGAGAAATATACAGTGAAAGACCATATTTCTAATAGTAAACAAGAAAATAGCGATCATTATTACATCCAAACACGGCACAAGGATCTCTTTTCCCATTACAATCTTATTGTAAGAAAACTTTAAGAAAAAATGTCCTGAAAAGCGCTCAAAAATACAAAAGAAATGTGCTCATGCCCCCTGGGCATCCTATACTACTCCTTAAATCGAATAAATTCAATATGGCCGCCGTATCGGTAAAAAGGTCTATTGGCACGGTTGGTTAGTCGGCGCTTTAAAGTAGTGGGTGCAAAAATGAACGGGCGCGCGAGAGGGACTCGCGCACCTGTCCTCTCTTGGGCCTACTACTTAAAAGCGCAGGCTAATTAAACACAAAATACAGTCAAACGCGTTAATACGGACATTGAGGGGGGCATAGAAAGTGTCCGTATTAACCCTTTTCGGACGGCTAGGGTCGTTTTAATTTCGTCTCATATGGAACGATGTATATTTTCCTCCCTAGTACCATTTACCGTTGAGTTCAAACTGTGAAGTTGTTAAGCAGCAACGTTAGCAAAGATAGATCACCGATACCCCGCCTTTGCAATTTCTAACCAATCCTGACAGAGTTACAAATATAAAACCAAATAACATTTCGGGGAAAATCCACTGCCAATTGCGTTATTTACCTACTACTCTTTGTAGATTAAATTTGTGTCTTTCCTAAAAAGCTAGCCAGCCACAATTCCATGTAAAAGAAAGACGATAAAGTGGGCAGCAAAACTGAAAATAGAAAAGAAAGGCAAAGGGAAAAAAGAGAGCTAGAAAGAAAAAAAGAAATAAATTCGTTAACAAAAAAGGCTCATGCGCATGCGCGAAAAAAGAAAAAAGCCCTAACTGTTTCAAAACTCCGTTTTTGGCCATTCCCATGTTGATTCATCGAAAACCAGTCCAAACAAGAGGCATTAGTGAAAATGCAGTTTTTCCCCTACTCGCTTTTAAAAGGGTTAAGCGGATACATTTAGAGCAGGGACAAAGCAAACTGTTCGTATTAAGAGGGTCAAGGCGGGCTTTGATAGTTTAGGTTTTACTTGGCACGTCTAGCTCCTGAAGTTCTCCTTATAAAAGTATTATTCTTGTTTTAAGACGTGTTAGGTCAGACTCCATGCAATAACTGGACCTCAGACAAAACCAGTTCAAATGAACTTCCACCCAGTGGACTTCTGACACCACCCAGTGGCCTTCCCCAGCCACTACCAAGAGCACAACCTTTAAAATATAACCAGCTCTGATTTTCTCCTTATAAAAGTATCATACTTGTTTTACAGACGTGTTAGGTCAGAGTCCAACACCTGGACCTCGGTACAACCTAAATCAGTCAGCTGAATACCACTTGAGGAAGGTCCTTTTGGGGCAGTACGACAAAATGGTCCGCCCGGTATTAAAACCATCTGATGTGATCAATGTCACCTTTATTGTGGACTTCAAGGCACTAAGCTCAGTGGTAATTGCTGAATGTAACTGATGTATTTTTCAGGCCTAGCACTATACATGTTTACACTCACAGTTGCAAATCTGTTCATAATGCAGTGCAATACAATACATATTGTAAAAGGTTTTAGGACGAAACAGGCAAAGGCTGGACATTCAGATTTCACATAGCATCGAAACACTCGAGACAATGGTGGTTAAAAAAGCATTCTTAAGGCATTGCATGTATGTATGCTAACTAACTAAGGACTTACATAAGCAGATAGTTAGACAGATGGACTGTTCCAGCCGCGATTTTCGCTTGCATTATTTCTCCACCGAGCTCTAATCAGCAGTCTGAAAGCCTGAAACTAGATTCTGAAGAAATCCTCTGATATTTGATCTATACATGTACATAAGAAAATAGCAACTTTGGTTTATTTTTCCAGGACAGTAAAGACCAAATTATTACAACAGACACTGAGATAACCCAGGTAAATCAGTATAAAATTAGTTGGGTTTTATTTGTTACACTGATTTGTGCAAGTTTTTGGCTTAATATACAGTAGTGCACATATGACAGCTCCTGCCAACAGAAACGAACTGATGAAAACTGACGAAAAAGAAAATTCTTCCCCTGAAAACCTGACTCAAATGCATGAGCTGTATATACAACTGCGCCGACATAAATGTAGTAGTGCTTGCTGTTCCCTCTAGAGAGGTATATGATGTGTAGAATTATTCGTGTTGGAATCGATCATGCAACTCTGGAGGACACCAGTTTCATTGTACACATTATGCCAATCCAGTCTCGCCGCCAATCATATTGACGTCCCTACTAGGTTTTCACATTTTTTACTGAAAACCAAACCATCTCATCAGTATCTTCCCTCTTTTTCCAGATGTGGACTAATCCGTTCCTTCAGTGGAATCCTGAAGATTATGAAGGGATAGACCGTATTCTTGTAGACCCACGGACCATATGGGTACCTGATATTGTTCTCGAGAACAAGTTAGTTTATTTGTACTTTTTACTGAGAGGTATAGCTTGAGATGATATAAGTATTCAGGTATCCACACTCTCACTCATTCACTCACTAAAGCTCTTCATCCCGGATGGGACATGTGTCGATATTGTATGGTTGCTTAGTAACGCTAGCGACATGCGCATTAGGGCTCGAAGGCTCTTACCATGTACTCTTGCCAAATAGCGGACTCTGTACATCAGGTTTCTTTGTTATATGTGATTAAATCCTGTAGAGATTTCAAGACAGGACATAAGGCCACAATCAAACGTCGCCACTCTACCCTGTCTTGAGATTCGGCCTGCGCTTCATTCCATGTTAGACCCAACTCCTCTAGCTCTATCATCACTGTTCTTCGCCAGGTGGCTTTTAGCAAGCCTCTTTTCGACCTCCCATTTTTCAACTACCCACTTAGAGACACTAACAGACCTTGAAAAGAGTTCCACTGATTTACGACGACTAGTTCAGTAAAATTATATGGTCCCTTAATGTAAGGTATTGTCTAATGTCTCAGGGATATCTATAGTCAGGTAATTTACTTTATTGGGTTGCCGAGGTTATCTTGTTTAATTTTTAAAAAAGTCCCTTGAACTGTTTCTTACAGTGCTGATAGTCAGATCCTTCAAGCAGGACACGTGGAGAAATTTCACACCTATGTGCTGGTGCGAAGTGATGGCGAGAATACGTGGATTTCTCCATCGACCTTCAAAAGCCCGTGTGAACTCAATGTGAAGTTTTTTCCATTTGACAAACAGCAATGCAATATGAAATTTCGCTCCCTGGCAGCTGATCGCTCTCTTATGGACATTATCTCAACAACTACAGAAAGCGAGGATCCAGAAAAAGGTATTATGTTATTGGTCATGGTGCAGAATGCGACATACTCCAAACAAGTAAGACCAAAGAAATACAGGCTGGGAATCTGCGTTTTCTTTCTAAAAGCTTAGGGCTATGTCTAACTTTACTGGAATTAGTACGTTCGCATAGAGTAGTTAAGTGGTTATATGACGTCCTGATCCTGTAAGATCACTGATTATTATACGATATTTTTTATGATTTAATAATCAAACAAAGGTGGTCAATCAGGTCAATCATATCCTCTTTTCTTGTTTAGATCTAAAACTCACGTCGTCAAATGGTTACTGGACCCTGAGGAGCCTTGTCATAAAAATGACCAACTACGATGAGAAGAAGGACCCAAACAGACAATTTCCAGAAGTCATTGTGTCGTTTTTCATCGGACGCAAACCTATGTTTTTCGTGCTGTTCACCCTTGTGCCCTGTATGATCATCGGCATGCTAATTCTCGTCAGCTTCTTCATTCCAGCAGAAAGTGGTGAGCGTATCGGTCTGTGTGCCACCATTCTCTTGGCTGTTAGTGTGTACCTCCTGGTTATAACTGATCAGCTGCCTGAGCAGTCAGACACTCTACCGCTGATTGGCGTATACTATATTGTAATCATGTTTGAAATCGGGTTGGCGCTGGCCGCTACCGTCCTCGTACTAATGGCTCACCACGCTACATCCAAGCCGCCCAAATTGTTGACATACTTAACAGGTAAATATAGTCTTCGTTTTAATACCAGATAAATCTAAAGACAGCATTGGATATCAATAACTTTGGCACCGGGCGCAATTAAAATCATGAGTATAGCTCTTACGTGGTTGTCTGCTCTGGTACCGACAACTTTACCAAAATATGATGTGCGAAGAATAAAACAGCTGAAAACAGCTGCTGAAGACGACGGCTACTGTCAAAGGTCCGTCACTAATTATGCTCTCAAACTTCAGCTTTAACCCCTTTTTAATTACCAATTGACCTTAATGACGCATTTATTAAAATAATTTTGGTGTGGGAGTCCTCCTAAACGCAGCTCACATTTTCTTTAGAACTCAGGTCTTTATCCATTATTGTTATGAGTGTTTAGATCCAGCCACCCAAACTCACCTTTAGCATGCACATGGTATTCACACTCTGACTGCTATCTCTAGTCGTCTCTCGTTCTTATGGGTACGAGGGGATCGAGAGTCAAGGGAGACTGGCAGGAAGACGGTGGTAATTGGAGGAAAGAAGAGCCCAAGGCCATCACCTCTCGAGCGCTTCTTTCGTTAATAAAAAGATTTAGAATCACGTTTACGGCAAACGGCAAACGGCAGATTGATGTTCAGAATTTCTCGAAATAAAAAGATAAAAGACATGCGTGAAACGTGACTGTAAATCTCTCTAATCTTTAAAAGTCAGATGCATAATTAACCCACCTGAAATAAAGGGATCATCACACGTTTCTGGGAATCTGCCCCACCTACTCCTCCCCTAAGCCAACATTAACACTTACTTCTCACTCAGGGCAAAATGTTGGCTTAGGGGAGGGGTCTAACAAGGCATCTAACTGTATTTTTTTTCTTCAGTATTGAACGGAATTGTCTGCTCTCCCAAAAGTTGCCGAAGGTTTATATCAAAGAAAAGATCCAAGGATATTCCTCCCTCACCACCTGCGTCTGCAAAACCTATAGTGGTCAACCCTGGAGTTGAATCAACAAATATTGACCTGGAGTTAGCAGTCACAACGGAGAACAACGATGAAAAACAAGACGAACGGCGTTCAAATGCAGGTTCAATCACTTGTGTCAATGAAGTCGACGAAGACGAGGAAAATCAAGAAATGTGGAAACAGATTGGTCGCGCGTTAGATCGCCTTTTCTTCTGGGTGTTTTTGGCTATGTTTACGTTGTCCACGCTTGTAATTTACGGACAAGCGGGTCGTCTCGGTTCATCGGATACTTTTAAGTTCTAAACTGGTTCTAGCGTTCTTTCGTTAATAGCAAGATTTAGAATCACGTTTATGGCAAACGGCAAACGGCAGATTGATGTTCAGAATTTCTCGAAATAAAAAGATAAAAATAGTCAATTCTTATGGATAAAACTGGTGTAAAACTAGCAATTTTTTTTTGTAGAAGAACAGTTATAGCACTAGAAAAGAAAAGACAAGCTTGCTGTTTGACATAAACGTGAATGTAAATCTCTCTAATCTTTAAAACTCAGATGCATAATTAACCCACCTGAAATAAAGGGATCATCATACGTTTCTGGGAATCTGCCCACCTACCCCTCCCCTAAGCCAACATTAACACTTACTTCAAAGAAAAGATCCAAGGATATTCCTCCCACACCACCTGCATCTGCAAATGCTATGGTCAACCCTGGAATGCAATCAATATCAATATCAATATCAATATCGTTTGATACGTCTTCGTTGTGAACCAGAAGTAATGAATCACACTTGTATTCAAATAAAATACCCCACAGCTTTATTTGCAACAAAAGCCCATTGGAGACGTTTTAAGGGCCGGTTATTAAAGGGAGTTTAGCCCATGTTTAACAAAACTGCATCCTAAGCCAAGCTGTTATCTAAACACCATTTATTGTGAACAATATATAAAGCATACAGCGCTGACACTGGAAACGCACTTTTTTTTCTTAAATTAACCCATTATAAAGAAAGGGATCTGGAGGTCCAATGATTTCTTAAACCGCGGGCTAAGTTAGACTTCATTTAAATAACCGACTCATATTATTTATTAGATTAGAGGCAAGGACGACAACTAGGACGAAGTTTTTTTGGCGTATTCTCAAAACATAGACACTCAAGGAAGTAGTTCGTTGCACATTTGTTCACCAGAAATGTTAGCACAGTGTCATGGAATTCTCACATTATATATTCTCACTTAATTTCGCGAGTTTCCCCAAGCCGTCAGATCATCCACGAATTTAATGCGGGCGCCCCAACTTTGAACAAGGTCATTGACCATAACAGCAAACAACACAGGACCCAAATTTGTACCCTGAGGAATGCCTCCATTAAGACATAAAGGAGCAAAAACCGCGAGGCGCCAACGCGTGTGACCTGAGCCCTCCCTTGCAAAAAGGATGCCACCCACCTAAGCAAGCTCCAGTGGAGATTGTACTGTGTAGAAAGCTTCTCCATTAATATAAGGTGATCAATAAGGTCAAAACCTTTTTTAAAATTAGCAAAAAAAATAACCTTAGATAGCAACCGCCCCTGTCCAGGGCTTCTAAAGCCAGGTGTAAAAGATAGACCAGAGCCGGCTCGGTCAATTTACCAGCTACCGCAAATTGGTTTCTATCGAGGTTGCCTACAATAGATGAATATTGCCGAATCCAATCAGTTTAATAGATTGTTTTATACCTCCAATTATTAATCAACCTTGTGGGAGATATGTCTTTATTATAAAGACACGAGTGTTTTACTGGAAAATATACCACTCGTAAAATTCATAAAAACTACATTTGGAACCCGAGTGGTTTATTTTTATCTCACACATGAGTTTATCGATGACATAATTTCGGTAAGTATGTATCATTTTTAAAATTTTACTTATACATTTTTCACAGCTTTGCTTATATTTTGTCATTGTAGAGCCCTATTCAGCTCAGTATTATTTCTCAAGATTATAGTAAACAATGTCTTATATTGCAGTACTGTAACTTTCAGCTGTCACTATTACTTTTTGGTGAATAAAAATCTATTATTTTATTGATTCCTTTTTGTCTATATAATAAAAAGAACATTACACAGTGGCATGAAGATATGAATTTTATTTTTCTTGTGGCAAAAACAATATTTTACTCACTCGCTGCGCTTGTTCATAAAATTTTGTTTTGCCACTTCAAAATAAAATTCATATCTTCACACCACCATGTAATATCCTCTATATAATTGGTGGAATGCTGTTGAAAAATATCCAAAATCACAAAATTTTGTTTAAGTCTTAAAAAATTCACAACATTTATGAGAATTAAAAAAAATTCACGAGGCCCACCAGCAAAAGTCGACGGAGAACTACAAATAACTTCTTGGAAGATGCTTGAGGAAAGTGTTGAAATTGAAAAAATTACAAAAAATCACAATTGGTGAGAATCACAAAATTTTGCAAAGACATCAACGAAAATCAACAGAGACATACTTATGGTTTATAGTCGTTTAAGGCCCTTTACAAAACAGCAAAAAAAAAATTACAAAAAAATTAAATTTTGAAAGCCCATCAAATTATGGAAACCGATGGAGAAATGCAAATGTGTTTGTGGAGGGCCCAATAATAATACAAACAATACAATTTCTTGTTGCAAAATTTGCGTGAAAAAGTCCCAGTGGAGGGACAAGCTTATTTGCAAACCAGCACTGATTTTGTGCACTTTATTTCACTGTGTAACTATGGACACTGTAATAATTCAGATAATAGAGAAAGTGTCAAAAAAATATTTTATCATAACTGAATTATTTCTCGAGCACTGATTGGCTTATTTTTGAAAATGATCAATAAGAATGCAGACACATAAAATTTAAATTTATGCAAGACATGGTCATTTGCCGAATGAATAGTTTGTAACCTTGGGCTAATTTACAACTTTATACTACCCCAAAATGCCTCCATTTTTTGAGACAATAAATTCCTAATTTATGCAAAGCGGTGGCATGACTTAACCTGTCAAATATTTAGCCTATGAACCTCCGTTACTTGTCTTCAGTAGCCAACCACCAAGCGAGAAACGTTATTGACAATAACATTGCAGTGGTTAAAAAAGTCGTAATTGTTTTTTAGGTTTCTTCATTTTTACCAGCAATTTGACTTTTTGGAGCTTTTGTTATTGTAAAAAACAAAATGACACCAGTTTTTTATGTGCCTGGTGATAAATATATATTGATGATAAAATGACACCACAGTGATGTTAACTCTCCCGGACACTCCGGGAGACTCCAGATTTTGGACTGTATCTCCTGGCCCCGGTTGTTCGATTGTTGGATATCGCTATCCACCGCTTAAAAATCTATCCAGTGGATAACGCAATTGGTTTCCCTAATACTTATCTGCTGGATAGTGATTTATCGGCTGGATAGCGCTATCCAACGTTTGAGCAACCGGGGCCTGGTCTCCAGATTAGAGTATGAAATCTCCCGGATATTCTCCGAAGTTTCCAGTTTAGTTGTAGACTCGACTTTCCAACAATAAACTTTTAAATATTTTGCATTGTTTGAGCGACTTTACTGTTAACAATGAATGTTTCCTCAAAACTTCGGTATGATATATTATGCCACAAGTATTTTTTGCACAAATGACATCATACACTGTGCAATATGACATCATCTATCATCCCTTCCGTATCAATTCTCAATATTTGAAGACATGGCGGGTTGACAGCCCCGCACCATAACATTGTTAAAGTCTGTTGTGGATAAAAAACTGGCGTCAATTAATATTAATTTTGCACTGCTGTCTGACTAAAACAAAAAAAAACTAGCAGCATTTCTTACCTACAAGACTTTTACGGAATATTTTAGCAATTTAAAACAGTACTTCAACTGTCAAGTACTCAAAATCATCTTTCAAAATTTTACTTACATGTGTTAGGCGGGGAACCTTTCCTTTCCGATTGAAATGCAGACACATAAAGCAGAGCGTGTCGTTGCGTTCTCTTTTAAAGCAGAGAACAGAAAAACGAGTTTTATGGATGCCAACGAAGGTCGGACTCTTGCACAAATGTAGTTCCCTTTGAAGGTGTTTCGATATCATATTGAATGGACAGCTCCTGTCTCAGAAGTATTACAATGTTTACGGGATATTTCAGCACTGTTACTAAGAAAATATGCTGGTTCACATTGAAGTTGAATCGATCATTGAAACCATACCATGTTGAAAATCAGTCAGGCATTGGCTGGGGAGACTTGGAAAAGTATGAAATACGAAATACTCTTACCCAGTTTTTTTCGGTTGCCTGGATTTACAGTGGGTGGTAGCCCTAGGGAAATGGAGCGGGACAACACCGCGGCAAAACGCACTGCGCATGAGCAAAAAATTTAACATCCGGTCAGCTTTTTATTTCTGGTCTAGTATATAAACCAATTGCGTAAGCATGACATTGCCGTCGCACCAAGTTTAAAAGCAAAAAGGGCGAAACAGACAAAAAAGGGGGCCAAAAAAATCACTTCATATAATAAAAAGAACATTACACAGTGGCATGAAGATATGAATTTTATTTTTCTTGTGGCAAAAACAATATTTTACTCACTCGCTGCGCTTGTTCATAAAATTTTGTTTTGCCACTTCAAAATAAAATTCATACTTCATGTCACCATGTAATATCCATTGATTGGTGGAATGCTGTTGGAAAATATCCAAAATCACAAAATTTTGCTTAAGTCTTAAAAAATTCACAACATTTATGAGAATTTAAAAAAAATTCACGAGGCCCACCAGCAAAAATCGATGGAGAACTACAAATAACTTCTTGGAAGATCCTTGAGGAAAGTGTTGAAATTGAAAAAATTACAAAAAATCACAAATGGTGAGAATCACAAAATTTTGGAAAGACATCAACCAAAATCAACAGAGACATACTTATGGTTTATAGTGGTTTAAGGCCCTTTACAAGACGGCAAAAAAAAATTTCAAAAAAACTAAATTTTGAAAGCTCATCAAATTATGAAAACTGATGGAGAAATGCAAATGTGTTTGGGGAGGGCCCAATAATAATGCAAACAATACAATTTCTTGTTGCAAAATTTGCGTGAAAAAGTCCCAGTGGAGGGACAAGCTTATTTGCAAACCAGCATTTTGTGCATTTTATTTCACTAACTATGGACACTGTAATAATTCAGATAAAATAGAAAGTGTCAAATAAATATTTTATAATAACTGAATTATTTCTCGAGCACTGATTGGCTTATTTTCGAAATGATCAATAAGAATGCAGACACATAAAATTTAAATTTATGCA